CCCGCTGTCGGATTCACCAAGAAATTTTGCACCTGGCGCCCAATTTTTTTCTAATTTGGTTCAGCGTGGAGCAAGCACCAAATTTTCTAATGTAAGCTTTTTAACGCAAAGTTTGTTGCAATTTTGAAAGGTGCTGCTTTTTACAAAAATTAATTTTCTGAGCTCGTATTCTTGCCTTAAATCAGTCATGATATTAGCAACATATTCCTAAAATATGATCACATGAAAAACAAAATATTTAATACATACATATATAAGATCATTAGAACAGTCAAAAATGATATCATGAGCTTCCGTCTCTTTCCTTTTTGTCATGTACTGTTTTGCTCTTGCTTAATGAATGAAGTTCCCATTTTGTAATTCTCGGAGCTCGCAATGGCTGATTTTCTTGGTATTTGACTATATCTCAGCCTCGATGTTTAGAGCAAAACAGTAATCTTTAGGTGACTAGATTTTTGATTTTGCTCAAACGCTAGCACCATTTCAATTTAAACTATTCAGTAAATATGAGTCAACGCTGTGCAGCCCAGTTCAGTACATTACAAGATGTTTTGCTTTTTCCACCAAAGATAAATAACCAGACGTGATTTATTTGCGAGTACAATTGTTCATAGTACACTGAGGGTCCAAAAAAGCATGGTCAGTTTTGGGCCATCAGTGTATGACAATCAAATATCAATCATCAAATCTTTCCACCATACTTATTTGTCTTTTTCGATCCAAAACATTTTTCATATATATCTTTTTGCTCTAGTAATTGTTGCATTTCTTGAATTTTGTCTTTTCGTTCTTCACTCCAGTTTTGTACAGCTTTCTGCCAGACACGTTTATCAAAATTAATTTTCAAATGCAAATGTTCATGTGTTCGATAAACGCCATGATTAACGATCATTGATGACCAGATCTCATCTCCAAATTCTCGGTCAGCTAATGTTACAGCGTCAAACCAAAATGAGCTAAATTCCTTATCAGTCATCTCCGATAATCTGTGCAAATGTCGAATCGGCGTTAAAATTAGTTTTGGCCGATTTCGACCGTCAAACCATGCCCGCGTGTGTTGTTGTTCGGAGATTAATGTTATGCTAAATAATTCTGTTGTTTTGTCGCATGAAATACAAACAGTTGTTCGATGAGGTCCCTGTTTTTCTTTAGAATCTTTATAATAGATGTATAAATCTAGACTACTTTGTTGTTGCAATTCTAAATGAAAATCTCGAATATTGTAATCGATTTCAACAACTTTTAATAATTGCCGAAAATATGTACTACATATGTCATCCTTCACTAATTGTTTCAACGTTAATGGACAACGAAATAAAAAGCCATTTGAAATGGAAGTCGGTATCAACCATTGTAAAGGAATAGTAGCAACAGACATAAGAAAGCAAATCAACGTAATACTTTAGTACTTAACGAATTCGATTATTCAACAGTGTGAATACTTTTTACTGGGATTAGTGGTATTTATAAATACTTTTGGAGTATGAGAAGAAATTTCCGTGAAGCATGTATCGGGTGCTATTGACTCACTGTATTTACTTTGACCGATTCTTGCACAAAAACACACGTTCTTTGGCGTCATTATAAGGAACAATTTCAACAGAAGGAACAAACGACATGCTGCATATTTATTTTCTTTCTCATCTCGTTAAATACATATGCTTACGTCAACAACGATTTCCGTGAAAACAAAATTTTTCAAGCGAAGAAGTAGTACTCTTTATGGCCGTTGCGAATCGCAACGGCCATAAAGAGTACTATTTCTTCGTTATACCAATCGCTTTTATCAGTCGTTGTATCAATCGCAAGTTGCGATTGATACAACGACTCAGCAAGACGCCTGTTCGTACGCGACACGACACTTCCACAAACAGGATCTCGCTGTTTCGCGAACTTTCCAGAAGAGAAAGTTAGATATTTTTTCAGCACAGACATAAAGCTGTTTATGAGTATAAAGGGTGGGCCAGAAGTTCTGACCCGATTTGAATAATAAATTTTTCTATAGTGAAACAAGTGGTTGTAAATTTGTCTCTATGAAGAAAAGATGTAGTAAAAAACGC